ATATAAAATAACTCAAAAAGTACTTAATAAAAAAATACTTTATTATAATGTTTTGGAAAGCTTTCGGGATAAGCTATAAGAATATGCAATGAAAAATAAAGGATTCCATTTAAGAAATTAAAGGTGTCCTTGACGTGACCTTAACGATGCCATCCAAGGTCAAACCAATGACACCATCTTATGTTCCCCTCAAAACCATACAATTTTTGTTTAAGACGTTTTTCTCTAAAATGCTTAGTTTTTGAAAGAAAAGGGGTGTTAGGGTAGTCTAGGACACCCTGTATACATACATTTGTATATACATAGTATATATACATATATATATATTATACATACGTATATACATACATACATAAACATATATACATCGTCATATGCACGCGCGCACATATACATAAACACATACGTGCGTGTATGTGTATGTTGTATAATTTACAATTCAACTTGTGTTTTTATAAATAAATTTTCAAAGAAACTGTGTATATTTCTGTGTGTAACTTATGTATTTTTCGATTTCACTGATTCAATTTTTGAAGACTGACAAATATTTACCTTCGTCCATTCGTCAATTGTCGATTGCATGCGATGAAGTAGTTTATAAAAGAATTTGACTTCGTCCTCGATGACTTTTATAAAAGCCGATCCTCGCATTGCCTGTATTTTAACTATGTGCTCCTCTAACAGCATCAGTATATCATCCAACTGTGTTAAAATCGAAACATGTGTGTCTTTGTATGGCACAGTAATAAAAAACATGCTTTCCCAATCGCTTATCATTTTCGTAAGTGATTGCTCGTGCGCTAATTCCCTTGTCGCGCCGCTACTGATTATCTCATATCTGCAAAATATTATTATTTTTCTTAATTATCTTAAATTTTCAATCTTTAACGATTTAAATTTACTTCAATAAATAAGTCAATACCTAAATTTTACTTTGATCCATAATTATTATATAATATAATTATTTTATATAAAGATTATATAATATAATTAGTTCTAAAGTTATCATTTTTGCGACCGACTTTTCCTTTCAAGTATCTGATAGCGAGTTGAAAATAACGGTAAAGTATTGTTAGCAACTGAACTATATAACAAGTAGCATATCGTGCGTGCGTGCGTGCGCGCATGCGCGCGCTTGTGTATGTGTGTGTGTGTGTGTGTGCGCAATTATTCCAAGTAGCTTAGCAGTAACTCGATATTTGTTTCACACTATATTGACACATTTCTCGGCAATCGACTACTAGCAGTCATCTAGATAGGAAAGCCGACTTATATAAGTCATATAAACCGTAACTTCAAGTTTTGAATGACATAATTTTAGTTATTTAAGCAATTTTATAAGTTTTACCAAAATATAATTTGCTTATATAATTAAACACTATTATAAAATATTATCATAAAATTATGTTAAAAATCATCTCAATTTTATTGTAGAATCGTACAAGATATTAAGATTTTACATTACTTTTCTAAGTCTTCCATCAAGTTCATATTGATTATTTTTCTTAATGTTGTACCAGCATCCGGTGTCAAATCGAACCCTGCAATGGCCGACATATTGTCCCAATGTAACTGTCGCATCGCTGGATTGCGAAAGATGGCTAATAACGCAACGTGCTGCTGTGTGGCAAGAAGTTCAAATAAAATAGCAGTTACTTATAGGTAAAATAACTAATTGTAAATAAGTAAAAAATTAGGTTGGTAAAAAGAGTATACTCTTTTATTTACTTACTTACAATTAGTTACTTTGCCTGTAACTGCTAAATATTAAGGCCCTTATTCTGAGCACACATTTAGAGGCACATTTAGAGTGCCACATTTAGAGGCGCAAATAAATATACTAGTAATACAACTAAAGTCAGTCATATTCTCATCGCACATTTATAGCGCCTCTAACTTAGAGGTACATTTATGATTACCGTGTTGTATATCGTGCTTATTACGCGCATATGGCCCTGTGATTGGCCGTCAATTCATTATATCACGCACCATGAATTAAATTAGTAAATTTTATTTCGATCTTTCTTTCGACGCCATTGCAACACAAAACGCATATAATTGTAACAACATTCTTTAATTAACCGATATTTTTGTCGGAACTTGCGATCATTATAAACTTCAAAAACGTCTATTCTATTTTGAAATACCCGTGGGCCACGATCACGCACTGCATTTATTTCCCAAATTTCGATCGCATGATCAATGGCCTTAGTTCACACCAATATATTTTAATACGTAAATTTAATACTATATTGTGTAATTACAGCCGTTCCATTCTTTAAGAAGAATGGCTATGATTGGCCAATGTAGTACGTATTAAAGTATATCGGCATAAACTAAGCCATAATCAATAAGAAGAGAATTGATATTTATTGATATTTACTGATATTATCATTTTATTGCCTCTTTTAACTTCTTAATTTTATTTATTTTAAGTCATAATCGTCAAATACATCTATAATATTGCAGTTAAGTGCGCTCTTTCAAGCTAGTTTCGCTTCAAAGTGCAAAATTCTTCGTCCTAATTAATCCTTCGAAGTGAAAACAGTGTTAAACAAAATGCACCTTTCATTGCACTTTATAGAACTATACTTTTAGAAGAAATTTCAGAATTGATCAAATATCATTAATATTGTTATGTAAAGAAGTTCTATTATTTACAGAAACTTGATCTATAATAATTTTATTAATGAAATAAATTGTATAACAGTGATAGAATTAATCAACTTGCGAAGCATCGAGTACAAGGCGTCGCTATTATGTATAAATATACCTATAAATGTGCTCTCGGGTACATTTATTAGTACATTTATCGAGAATGGCATAAATGTGCTATAAATGTGGTACAGAATACGATTTTCACTATAAAGTTGCGCATTTAGGTTAAAAATGGCGATCTGCCTCTAAATGTGGCGCTAAATATGCGCTCAGAATGCCGCCACATTTATCGTGTCATCTAAGGCACATTTAGAGGCACATTTAGTGATAGACGTGAGCTCAGAATACGGGCTTAAGATATTAAGATCTATGGATCTTAGTATCTTCAGTATAGATAACAATATATAAAAATTAAATTCGTATTTAAACTTTAACATGCGCAATATTAGTTGTTACATTCGAAAATCAAATTGAAATGAATAAGTGATAAGGCCCATGTGTTTTTCTGATTATTCATATAATTTCATGTTAAGCAAGCTTAAGTTGATAATATTGGAGGTAAATATGCTGATAAAGGGAGGCAATCCTGATGCCCTTGATCTTGATATATGTTGTCAAGGTCATGACCCTGAACAACATTCAAAAAGTTTCAACCGTCGCCCGTTTTTTATTAAAAAATTATTAACAAAAAAAGTTTGAAAGATGTAGCAGCTATTTTGAGTATTGAAAGACATCCCCAACTTCGGGAAATGAAAAAAAAATTATATAAGGATTATATTTCAGGATCATGACCTTGACAACATATGTCAAGGTCAAGGTCATCGGGACTGCCTTCCTTCATCGGCATATTTACCATATTAGAAAATAAAAGAACCTTTTTAGACTTGTTATTTCTTTTTAAGCTGATTAGCGAGCAGATTACTTGCCTAGGTTTACTAGATCGCGTAAAATTGCATATTCCAAGCAGGCCTCTTAGTTAGACATAAATTAATTTTCTACGAAGAACATCGTACCTTCTATGGTAAATTTAAACTTCTGAATCGGGTATACTTATCAGTGAACGCATTCTCCAAACGATAGAATTTTTTTCCGGATGTCTCTTAGCTCTTTTAAACGATGATTAGTTATTGTCTAACGTGCTAACGCTACTTGCACTAAATGTTTCTTTACTGTAACATGTTATGTTATTAATCTTTTGTGTCTTTCGCTGATGTTAATAATCTCTGTTGTATACTAAAGGGGTCTTCCTATTTAAATAAATAATTAAATAAATAAGTGACATAAGAATGACTTACCAAAACCCGAGTATAATCTAGCAAGTCAGTCGACAGCGTCATCATCACATGTGTATCCGTCGATGATTCAAACGGTATTGATATTGTTGCGTCCGCGCGTCGACTTCGATAATACTCGAACACGCGCGACACAAACGGCACTCGCGTACCGGGACGTCAATGATTAACACTCTTTTAAAAGAACAAAAAGAACTTTAATAATAACACAGAACACACAATTAAACAAGGAACACAGAACGGGTAATAATGGTAATCGTATCTCAAATATGTCCGCCCGGAATGACATCCGTCGCGAGACTCAAGATGGCCGATCTCTCTCTCAAGATGTCCGCCGTTGTTTCACAACAACGCTTAGCAACGTTCTCCCGGAGACGAATACAGCAGATTCATGAATAACCGCCTTAGACGACCCGCAGGGACGCAACAGTATTATTAATGAAATGCACTATTATTTGTACTAATATATTGAAAAGTAAGAACTTTACGCTTGGAAGAATTAAACAAGACTGTGTCATCATGA